AGGTACTCGATGTGGCGTCACTTGAACTTGCACTTCTCTGGTTTGAGGAAGAGTTTCCTCCTTCGCAGCGTTCCCAACACTTCCCGCACGACCTTCCGGTGTTCCTCTAGGGTGGATGTGAAGATCAAGATGTCGTCCATGTAACAGATGACGACTTCTCGGTCAATGAAATCCCGAAGAATGTCGTTCATCATGGTTTGGAAGGTTGCTGGGGAGTTGCACAGTCCAAAGAACATTACCATGGGCTCAAACAGGCCTCAGTTGGTCGTGAACGCCGCCTTCCACTCATCGCTGTCTTTGATCCGCACGTTGTTAAACCCCCAGCACAAATCCAGTGCCAAGAAATACTTTGCATTGCGAAGGCATGCAAGGACGTCGGAAATGAGTGGGAGGGGGCACGAGTTCTTGACTGTTATCTCGTTGAGCTTTCGGTAGTCCTGAACCAGGAGCAGAGACCCGTCCTTCTTCTTGACGAAGAATACAGGGGCGCCCATCGGTGACTTCGATGGGCATACGTGCCCGTTCCACAGGTTCTCGCGCAGGAACTCATCTAGTTCCTTCTGCTCCGGCCAGGATAGGGGGAACGTCTTGCCTCTGGGTAGCTTGGCGTCGGGGGTCAGGTCAATGGCGTGGTCCCAGGGCTTTCGCGGGGGCAGGACGTCGAAGGCTTCTTTTGAGAACACATCCTGGAAGTCCCTGTAATGCTCGGGTACTAGCTCCTCCAGCGTCAGCGGCCTCGCCTCTGTGTCTTGGGCTTCCTCCGCCAGGCGTTGGGACGGCGTTGTGGTTGCCCTTAGGTCGTGTCCCCACCCTGGTGGGATTACAGCGGTGTAGATTCCGTCACCGGGCTCTACTTCGAGGGCTTGCCTGACATCTGCTCGCAGCGATTGGCAGGAGGAGGGGCAGCAGGACATGATGACCTTCTGCTGTGCCCAGTCGACCTCTGGGTTGTGGTGTGACAGCCATGAGTGCCCAATGATGAGGGACTGCTGCCCTAAGTTTGCTACGGCGAAGCGGGCATGCTCCGTATGTTGGCCAAATGTCAACAAGGCCTCTAGTTCCTCTGTGATGGCTCCGTTCTCGTTAGGCATCCCGTCCACGTTGCGAACTGGGATGGGTTGGGGGAGCGGGGTCGTCTCGAGCCCGTGCTTCCAGATGAAGTCTGGGTTCACAAAGTTCCCAGTTGCGCCGGAGTCTAGCAGCGCCAACACAGCAACTGCAGCGAGGGATGGTAGGGCAGTCACCTTCACTTTCATATTGAGGGAGCCGTATCTCTGTATTTACACTGGGTATCATTGCTTGCAGGTGGCCGGGATGCATCCTTCACCGGTTGCCTTCTTGAAAATCCGCAGAGGGGTTCCCTTCCTCCCTCTCCTCCTCATTCTCCTCAGGTGTCCCCATCAGCTGGCTCCTCAGCCCTTCTGCGAGTACTCGGAGGTCTTCCGGGTGCATGCGGCGCACTCGGCAGACCTTCGGGAGGGGGCAGTCTCGTGCGAAGTGCCCGGGGGCATTGCAATTGTGGCATAGCCCTCATTGTTGGTCTGCCCTTGAGCGGTCGAGGTCCATCAGCTGAGGCAGCAGGGCTGTAGTCGTGGGGGCAGTAGGGGTCGTGGTGGGTCATGGCGGTGGCCCCGGTGGCGGGTGCAGGGGGGTCTGAGAGAGTGACGGCGACGGTCTGGCGGGGGGGAGGGGCGACTTGAACAGGGGGAGTCGGGGTTGAGTTGCCTGGAAGCGCCGCCATTGGTTGTCAAGGAGGGTAGCCTCTCGTTTCCATTCTGCCCAGGTCCTTGGCATGGGGCGCAGACAGTAGATGCTCTCATGGAGCCGGGCGTTGATCGCTTGTTTGAAGCGGTCTACCAACCCTACATCACCTAGCTGTGAAGCGGGACCGTGGATTTCGAACTCTTGGATGATTTTATCCACGGAGTCAGTGCCTTGCCGTAAAGCGGCGAGCTTCTGCCTGGCGGTGGCTTCCCAGTTGGGGTCTTGAAACATGGCGTCTAGCTCTGCCATGAACTCGTCCATAGTGATCGCGGGGGATCCCGCCGTCAGCAGCGCGATCGTGCGCTGTGTTGCCCATGCTCCCACAGCTCCTCCTTTCATGTACGACAGGATGAAAAGGATTTGGGATAGGGTGTCAGGGAACTCCGTGGTGCGGACATGGAAGTAGATTCTGCATTCCGCTTTGAAGTGGTCGAGGTCCTCGCTTGCTCTGGCGAAGGCAGTGGGGGGGGCAACCTTGGGTGCTTTGGGTGTCAGAGACCAGATTCGAGACGAGGGAGAGTCTCCGTGGCGGAGGGCTTTGGCCTCAGTGACTTATGCCAAGAGCGCTGTGCCTAGTGACACATCCATGCCCTAACTTACTGACTGACAATCAGAACTGAAGGGGGGGTAACTCTAGTTGATTTTATTACTGGAGTGTAACCTATGTACAAGTTGGATATATATATGGTTACAGCGAAGATGGGTCCGCAAATGGCGGAGCTGAATGGAGCGGAGCTAACGGGGTTAAACATTAGCTGACTGAATGTTACCGACGAGTTGGGTCGCGGGGTTAGCGGAAAGGCAGGCGATAACCCAGAAACGGAAAGGAGGGATAGGCCCGAAGGTGGGCTCTGCAGGGCAGGCGAGTGTATTGCCCAGTGGAGGCGGGAGTGCGCTAGCGGACGTCGGAGCTGTCCGGAAGTCTTCGGGGCTCCGTACTTAGGGAGGCATAGGTAATAAATTGAAAGGAGGGGGTGGTGACCATCGAGGGGTACCGAGAGGATTGTGAAATACGGGAGCTCCGAGGTTAGCGAGGAAGGAGCGGAGCTAGACTGGAGGGATCAGAGGGACCGGAAGTCGATGGCTGGGGATGGATATGACATTGGGCTTGGGCGTGGGTGCGGGTGCGGGCGCAGGCGGGGCTGGTGGGTTCTGGACGTGGCTCTCGAGGATGGCCTGCAGTTCCTGAAACCTAGTCAGCAGGTCCTGGTACTGCTCTTCAGTCACCATGCTGGAGGAGGTTGGGGAGATTAGGTTGAAACCTTCTTCTGCTGTCAGGGATGGCTCGAGGGAGGCAGAGGTAGCGGCATAGCGCTCGGCGCTAGCGGCCCGGACGGCGGCAGGGCGGTAAGACCGTATAGTGGGCAGCCCTCACTCGGGCTTACATCCCTGTGTGGCTTCTTAGGCTGAAGTGGGAAATGTATTGTTATTAGGGTGGGAAGCTAGACTAAACTAGGGTACTTGCCTGAAGCGGGAAATGAGAAGAAGGTTACTTCTTCAGTCCTGCTTCGGCTTAGTTTATATACATGTGTGAACGGGTCACGTGGAAGTGCCACGTCACCTTCGGACGAAGCCGGGTTACCGCGGGTGGCTCCGCGGTCGATCCCGAGTGTTGGAGGGGAAGTACAAGTAGGAGTGCACGGTGCGTCCAGCGTGGCGGTGCCCCTACGGGGTGCTCAGCGTCAGGCGCGTCCGTGCTACAAGTGTAGGAAAGAAAGAGAGAGGTCGTCTGTATAAAGATAGAAAAAGAGAAGAGGGAAAGAAGAGAGAAAAAGAGGATGAGATGAAAGGAAAGGAGGTGGCAGCGGCAGTGGCGGCGGCAGTGGCAGCGGCAGTGGCGGCAGCAGTGGCAGCGGCGTACCCTGACATTTACGTCATAAGAATTTGGAGCTCCGGATGAGTCCAGTAGTCGCACCGGATACAAATTTCCTCACTTCATGGGTTAGGCAGGTTACCAGCCTCTACCCTTGGGTCGGTCATTGTCTCAAGCTTCCCACGTTACCCAGGAGGACAACAGCCGGGATTGTCCCGTTTAATGGAAACTCATGTGGATGATGTACACGTCCTTGCTGTCCGTTCCACACGGACAGTACGTCGCCGTGGCGGTTTCTGAATGTTAAGGGATAGCGAGAGCAGCAGTTGGGATGGGCCTAATAACTTCCAGCTGGAAAGTCTTGCGTGCTTGCTGGAAGGCTGTCGCTCAGGCTGAGCGGAACGAATACATGTGTCAGAATACCCGGGGGCGATTCTCATCACCGCCTATGTACTAAGGCCAACGATGATAAAAGCCTAAATATCGCATGGTTGGTTTAGCGGTCGAACCGTTGCGAATTATTGTTACTGAAACTTTAAGGCTTGAACTTGGGCAACCACGAGAATTGCGGGTGTGGGACGGTGTTACACAGTGTATGTATAAGTATCACTAGTTACTTCGATCCAAGCGGGCAATGCCTATATAGCATTCGTTGGGTCATCTTTTTGGTTTTGATATCGTATTCCAAAGCACTGTTGTGAAACAACAACACTTGATTTCCATCATCTTTCTCCCGGGACCTGCTCACCTCGATCTCGCACCTCGTCCGAGGAAAGTCTATTATACTTGCACGGTGTTTGGTGAATTTCGAAAGCTGGATGGCTTTCTTGAGGACCAGCATTCGCGAAGCTATTCACATCATGCATCAATGAACAGCCCCATACACGTGCAACGGTCTCCTTGCACGGTCAGCCCCAGCTGCCCAGTTGCTGCAACAGGTGGCTACCAGGTGGCGGTAAAAAACACATCCGACGCTTGATGTTGTCAGTGTCAAATCGAGTCATCCTTCACGCCGTCTTGGCTCTAACCCAGGGACCAAGTCCCAACTTCATGTGGGTGGGTGGGGGCCTGAGAAACCCGCTGGCTGCCGCATTATCAAAGAGATAGTCAAAGCTTAGACGAGGTGTTCTAATGTTCCACGAAGACTCGTCTTTTGCAAACGGCCTGTTGTTGCAACCTTGAGCATTCACGGTACTGAGGTTCAGACTGTAAACCGGGAATATCGGATAGGACTATATAGGTGAATAGAATGCCTTTGCTTTATAGGGAGTAGCACGATAGTAGGCCTGGACCTCCACCGAGTGCGGCTTCCGGCTGGGGAGTTATGAGACTCAGTGGGCATCAGTTAAGAGAGAAACGAGATATAGTACAATAAAAAATAAGTACATCAAATAATCCCAATACAGGGTCCGTGTAATTATTATTATTGATAAGTCAAAGGAAAGGGCGCTGCGATAATTGATGCCATCAGCTGTGCTACAGAGAGCTCAAGCGGGGGAACAGTTGCCTTCGGATGTGCAGCCCAGGTCAGTGTTAGGTTACCTCATCGAGAAAGAAAAGTCAAGCTTACCGTAGAAGTGGCCGAATGTCTGTGTGTTTGCGTTGACGGAGATCGATAGGGTCTGCTGACAATGTCCAATAGGGAAGTTATCCAGATTAACAGCCCCTAACCGAATGAACAGGGGGCATCAGAAAATTCCTCTCATTATTCAAGAAGAAATCTACGCACATTTGTAATGGCCATTCCTCGTGGATCCGTAGTAGAACCACACCCAGCCACTTAGCGTGACAGGGAAGTTGACATTGCCTTGGGCCGTGCAGGTCTGGAGATCGACGTCCACTTCTACGTTAGCCGGGCCATTGCAAGTAACGGTGTCCTGCACTGTAGAACGAGCATCATTCGTGGACGTAGTGGTGGAACCTTTGGTGTTCTTGAGAGAGATAGAAAGAGTTTCTGATGAATTGAGACTGATTTGAGAGAACGAATTCAGTGAATCAAGAGGGCTATCTACCGGAGACTGAGTAGGAGACCTCTGCTATTGCTGGGATTCCAATCGTAAGCCCAGCTGTAAACTGGGTTTCGCTACCTATATCAGTAGAGGCTAGGATATGGTGTATCAATGGTGGTATCGGTGGGCGCTAGCGCATTTCGACCTACTTTCAACTGTGGTCGAGGCGCTAACGGAGGAGCCTTGGTAAATATTTACTTGGGCAGAATTGGTACCCTCTGCCTAGGAAATATGAGCCAACGATGAATGTTGTAACATAACTGGAAGCGGAAGGACTTACAATGTATCCAGTAAACTTGGTGCTTGAGCTGGAGCATGTAGGATCTGAATTCCACGTTGCCGTGAACTGCATCGGGCTCGGGTAGCAGGCCTGTGCTGGGCCGTCCAACTGTTTCGGGTTAATGGAGTCGTTCCAGTGGTACTAACGAGTGCACGTACGTCAGGGGGGTTTACTGTTATGGTGTCCCAATCGCCGCCCCAGTTGGCTGTGGCATAGTTCTGATATTAATGATTCAATAACTCATCAAGGATTAAATTGAAGTTTTCGGACGCATACCTTGACATCTTGTAGAGCATCACCCATTGCATTCAGCTGTTCCATAGTGATCATCTGGCACAAATTCTGCTGACGGCTGAGGAGAGAGCCACCGATCGTAGAGTTGTACAATGTCTTTGCCTCTTCCTCACTCATCTGAGCCGGGCCGCTAGGCCACCTCCTCAGGGAAGGAGCAGCCTGGGTTAACAGGACGAAAGCCGGGACGATGACAAAGAGCGTAGAAATGGCGACCATCAATAATAGAGCGGTGCTTTTGGTAAGCTAGAGAAGACAAAAAGGATTAAGATGCGTCTGCGGAGATCCTGTTAAAGCATTGGCGTTCCTTTACCTCCTTTTATGCATCTCAGCCGGGTCCAAGCGCCATGGACGCAGTGCAACATGCCATTTCCCGCCCCTTGCGGAGACAATGATGATGAACACGACCTGTGCTAATCGCTGACAAAGTATTGAATTGAATGGTTGGCCTGGCGCGGCGCTGATGGGTGGCTCTGCCAGATTCGACCGTGCCATCTGTCAAGACCTTGTTCCTGCCTAGAGCGGTGGATTGGTTTTGGGAGCGCCTGCGTATTGGTCCTTGTAGAGGCTGGGATCGTGGTCAGGTCTCATGCACCTTCATTGCATCACTCACACCCATGATCGGAATGCGTGGGTACCTCGTTCTTCCGCTCCTAGCAACCCTGATTACCACGTCGAACTCAGTCTGTCCCTCGGAATGCACTTCAGCCAAGTATCTCTGCACCCTAAGTGGTGACGGCCTCCTCGCCCCGTCCCAAAAAAGTTTCTGAGTTTTCGTGCCCATTTCCGTTGACGGTGACACCGCACACCTGTACATAGCCTTGGGCACATGAAGCATTTTCGCACGCGCGCGCGCGCGTCTGTCCACTTCTGGAGCTAGCCATCGGAAGATGCGTAGCTGGCTTCTGGCGACAGCTCTGGTGCGGTTGCACACGGCGACATCCCCTGTTGCGTACTTGAGATAGGCAGCCCCAGCCGTCCTTCTGGGGCTTGATTGCAGAGATGGAATAACAATAAGTTCTCTGAAACAACGGTGCATCCATGTCATGCATGTGCCTCCAACACGGCCTTTGTGGGGGTGCGGTGCAAGGATCACGCGCTGGTCCACTTGCGGAAGACGAGCCGGTCGATCCTTGAACTACCTCGGGAGAAGCCCTTTATCATGTGGAGCCATTGGCAATGAATCACTTCCACCGCCACTGGCGGTGTCGACTCGGGGTTGTTAAGTATACATAAGACTGATGGTGATACATTCCCCAATATAATGTGGCTCATACAATCGTGGGTAAGCTGTGACCGGCGATTGACCTTCGCTTAATATAATGCTTTGGCTGTTAATTGGTTTTTGTATCTGAGATTCACAAACCGCCACGCCTCACGGACACTTTTTCAAACGTTATTTCCCTTTGCAACCCCGACCCGAGTAGGCAACGACCCCCCCTGACCGACCCAACAAGTCAGAGGTCGAATCGTCTTCTACACCCTCCAGTCGAGATGACACGAGAGAAACAGGAATCAGCTCACGTCAGCAATAAACGAATGGTATGGAATGCCTCCGGAACGCGCGACTGAAACCGTCACATGAAGCAGTGGATTCGTAGTGCTCGGACCAATCCCCGGCCGGCGAGGAGAGGGAAAAGACAGGTTCGCAGACCGGGATGTCACGGACGCACAGCGCAGAACCTGGGGAGTTGGGCAACGTTTAGCATTAGGTGGCCAGGTGGTCAGTGCGCTCCAGCGACGCGAAGGGATGATCTCAACATCGTGCCACCAACTGTGCGTGCATTATGGTGAGGTAAATGCGGGAGGTAGAGGGAAATATAGAAGGCACGGTGTAATAGAAGGGGACAACAGCTCATTATACCCAGCTGCAACTTACCACACAGATCGACAAGCAAGGATAATCCGACGTGAGAATAATGCGTTGCTTCAACAGCGTTTACGATAGGCGGAGAAGCGAAACGGGCGGTGGACGGTAATAGACAGTGCCAGCATCGGCGAAGCTAATTGGCATTGACGACAGCGGTGATGAAAAGGTCATCGCGTTGGTCGAGGTGGCCAATGAGGTATCTGAATAAGTGGGGCAGCAGGATGGGGAGCTCGGTGAGAGAGGGGAAGCAAAATTTCAGTGAATGTGGAAGCAGACTGCCATCACCGGCAGCGGGTAGAAGCCAGGAGCAAAAAGCGAAAATGGCCCGGGGTTCGGGTCCTTGCATGGCAAGTACTCAATTCTGAACACAGTCTAAGAGTACTAGCAAGATGCCACGGCAGAAAGAAGCTCGCGAGTGTGTAAGCAGAGACACAAGCGGTTCATTTGTCGAAGCCCGCAAGTCCAACGTTTTGAATAACTGGGCAGGTGCGTTTAGGTTTGTGGTGTATGGTCACTACGACTTAGTGCCAATAGCTTGCAGGGGCGTCCCGGACCGGGGCCTCGTTATCACGTGGCAAAGTGGCTATCCGGATCCGTTTGGGTTCGGTGCATGAGGTGGGTTATTGGCATCCAGCGTCGTGTAGCTAGTACGTCCTCGTCGTCGGGGTTTAGTGTCTAAATGTCCTCGTTCCGTCCTGTCCCTCCCAGAGTTTCCCGGCTCTGCGTCTACCGAATTCTGTTCGGGGGTCGGATCTGTCTCGGGTGTTCGTACGTTTGTCCGCTGGCGCGGGGACGCCTTCGGGATTTCGCCAATTGGGTAATCACCCTGGTCGGCCATTGTCTTAGGGCTTCCCACGATGAAGATATCATGCGCAATACATAAATCGGCCGATCAACTTAAATTGCATATGCATATCTAGACGCTAGCGTTCGTCTATCCCGATGTGTTGGTTGGGGGTTGGGTTTTAGTTCTGGATATCTAGCCTGGGCAAAATAAACACACGGAAATAAAGTACAAAATAAGAGATGCGCTCGATCAATCGGGAGTCTCGTTGTTCACACGTTTGCAACTTTCACGCCCCCTTTTGCTTCGGCATGAAGTACTCAATTACATATGTCTCAATACAGAAGCCGGGTTGAACGTGTCACTCGTAAGCTTCTCTCCTTTAGTATCTATTGAACAAACCGCCCTTGCCCCGTCGATTCTACAAAAAACAATTTGTACGCGTAGGGGGCTCTACATAGGGAGCACCCCCCTCCCCCTTCATCCATATCCACATCCCAGGCGTGTCAGCGCGTTCGAGAGAGAGAGAGACCTAACTCAATGGTGGGGCTACCACTTTGGGGACTCGTGGTGTTGTTCACTTGTGGTGTATTCGGCGACTTTGTGTCCTCGCCACCAATTCCAAGCGACAAGACGACTCCGATTCATCAACGCTTGGCATTTCGTGGCCCCACTGGTGAGCCCAAAAAAAAAAAAAAAAATAGCCTCCCCTCCCATGTTATCAGGAGCTTCAGCTAACGTTAATGTTTTCATGTTTTGCAACGGTCGTAGCGATGGTCGTAGCTTGGAATACTTTCCAGCAGATTGCCACTCCAACCGTTCACTATGGAACTCGCATCGGCACATTGACGTTCAGCGCGTCAAGTGATTCCAGTGTCACATTTCCGACCTCACGCACTTGGGCGAACACCGTCGTACTCACTGGCTTGCAGCCATACACGACTTATTGTATGTAAAAAATATGTTATGTTCCTAGGCGTCTCCACCATCGTGTATGTCTGACAATCTCGTCCCATGGGGTTGGCAGATTACAAAATCGAGTCGACCAACTCCAGCGTGTTGACATTCACTACCGCTCGTATTCCTGGTGACATGACCCCTTTACAGCAGCAGCTGTCATCGACATGGGTCTCTTCGGGAAGGATGGGATGACCGTTCCAGCTTCTAAGCGGCACCTCATTCCCCGTATCGAGCCCGGTCTCGAGCATACCACTATCGGGGCATTAGACCGAATGAGCTCAGAATACGACTTTATCATTCATCCCGGTGACATCGCATATGCAGGTACGTACGGTGTTGGGCGCGCGCGCGCGCGCGTGGGGTTATAGCTTTAAACATCCATATAATGCAGATAATTGGATTACTGCAAATCCTCTTTATGCGTTCTTCCAAGCGCAAGCTTACGAGTCTATCACGGAACGATTCTTGTGAGTTTCGCAGCAAACACTTCTTACTTATTCGACATCCTCCCCTGACTTTCAAATTCAGTTTACAGTTGCAGCCCATAAGCGGCATCAAACCTTACATGGTCGGTCCAGGAAATCACGAAGGTGATCTCTCTCTCTCTCCATCATCATTTCAGCGTGATCAAGCGGTCAGGACACTGCTTACCATAATCGGTCCTCCTTCTCCTTGTAGCTACCTGTGTGGAGATGCCGTTCCCATGTGCAGCCGGACAGGTCCGCCTTTTTTCCATTTCTTATAGAGCATCAAAACAGTTGTCTTAATATTCTGGGATTTGAATTTTTTTTTTTTCCTGCCGTTTTCCAGAAAAACTTTTCCTCATTCATTAACCGCTACGGTCTCGTCATGCCGACTGCAACGACCATAAATTCCCTAACCTCGGTCGCCGCCGCATCCGCGCGCACACATGCCTCTAGGCTCGCCAAGCCTCCGTTCTGGTATTCATTTGACTACGGCATGGCTCATTTTGTCATGTTTGATACGGAAACAGATTTGGGTAACGTTCGTATTTTTTTTTACTACATGGAATTGGATGCTGGTGATGTGTGGGCTGATTTAGCATGGCAATGTGAAAAACAGGGGATTATTGGACCGGATGAACCTGGTGGCGGCGCAAACCTCGGGAGTGGTCCATTTGGCGGGAAGAATCAGCAGTTCAATTTCCTGCAACAGGATCTCGCCAGTGTGGATCGTGCTGTTACACGTATGATAACCCTCGCGCAATTGGGGTTCTGCTGTTGTGGCTGATCGTTGATATCTACAAATAGCTTGGCTTATTGTCGCGGGGCATCGTCCGTGAGTGTGCCACTGTGAAACCAGAAAGAGTCCGCCAAGCAAGATGTGCATTCATCGTAGGTGGTACTCCTCCAAGCCAACTTGCTCAGAGTGTCAAAAGGCTTTTGAGTCTTTGTTTATACAATACGGTGTCGATTTGGCCGTCTTTGGTACGTCGTAATCACATTGACTTGTAATGACTGATGAGAGACTGAATTTTCCTCACAGGACACGTACACAACATGCAGGAGATCGCACCAATCGGTAAGACTCTGGGATTCGGTTGTTTCTAGACATCATTCCCACAGACTTACCTTGATGACGTTTACTAGCTAACGACGTCGTAGACCCAGCTGGCCTAAATAATCCCAAGGCACCGTGGTACAGTAAGCGTACTCCCCCTTTTTTTTTCTCATCGTGGGGTTACGTAAAAATTCACCTTATGCATCACCCTATCAGTCGTTACTGGGGCAGCCGGCAACATCGAGGGACTCGCCCCACTCGGTGAACAACCCTCATACATCACTTGGGCCGATGACACCGTATTCGGTTTCAGCAAGCTCTTGTTTCAAGACCGAAACCGCCTCACAGTCCAATTTATTCGTTCTAGGGATGGAGTGATATTAAGGAATTCGACCCTTTATAAGGCACATACCACGAGATTCGTTGGAGCGTTGGCCGGCGTAAAATGGTCGCAATAGGGGCAGTTTATCAATCTATTTTGAATGGACTTGTCTCGCTTCCATTATTGTGCAGTTGGCGTTCGTGATCGCTTGTGTTGATGACCGATGTCCAAGTTCAATTTCATTATGATTATTATTATGTCCTAACCCCTTACTTAATTTGGAGGCTTCCACGGTTCGGGATCATGATTATTAATTTTCCCGACTTTTCCCGTGCGGACTGAGCTTAGTTGCCGGCGGACTCGTGTTTGGTGCGAAACTTCCGCAACAGACGCAACGTCATGTAAGTCGTGGCACAGAACAATTACATGCATGAAACCTCAACTCTTTGGCATCGGCATGTCACTTCAAGCCCAGGTTATCTCCCATATGCCCGCCGATGGGACATCCGCGAATGGTTTAGCCCAGACATTTCAGCCACCTCCGCAAAGCACGTCACGCCTATATATATATAGCCATCCGCGTCAACACATCACCCCCACAAAGCCCCGGGACACTCCGGAGCCGAATTCCCACGCATCATTTATCCCCTCGTGACAAGTGCCGATACAACCCCTTCCACGCTCCTGTAAGATGTCGTTGAAACGAGCCATCCAAGACGAGGTGACTGACCGGGAAGTTATATTGAGAGCATCGGCAATACGGGGTGAGCGCTTTTTACAATAAAATGGAAACCATTCCTCAACTGCTTCTCTCTCAACTAAGGCGTACAAATTGCCTCACTTGTCGCTCCCATTGGATACATAATCTACTCCATCCGAAGCCCCCAGACGCTACTAACCGCGAATAGGATTCTACGAGCTACGTGGGTTAGCAGTGGTGTGGGTGGTGCTGTTGGTGCTGCGTCTGGATTCTATCAGGGAACACAGAGTCCCACTGCGCTTCGGGAACATCAGCAACAGTTGACCTACGATGTACGCATCCTCACTCCGTTCCTTCGCGAGTCCTCTTCCTGCTCTTTCTATGTATACTCATCCATCGATAAAACCTAATATGTCATCCCTAGGTCAATCGCATTCGGGCGCAAGATTATTCTATTATTGGTTCAGTCCTTTCCACTCCCTTCATCACCGCTTTCCTATGGAGACGAGCTCGACTGATACATCTGATACTTGGTGGAGCAGGCTTAGGAGCCGGTGCAGGGTATGGTTATCATATCTGGCGTTTCATCATGGAAGGAGGTGCTCCACCGGGCACAGCTGTTCCACTTGTACAAACAGGGGTGGAAGAAGCGCACAGCGATCACTGACAAGGTATTATTTGTCGTCGATCTAGCATAAAGTTAAAGCATGGGAGCATATATGTATAGAAGTCAGTGTATTTACGTATTGCGCATCTATAACGATAATTGCATGTACTCGCTTGGAAATAACTGCAGTTGCCCAGCCTGATGTTGTCGCTAACCATCCACTAACTAAAGTAAACAAACTAGTAGCTCAACAGTAGGCGTTACAAGCCTTCCACACCAACCCCAGCCGTGGGACAGAAATCCTTCATCACAAAGACACTCTCGTCCACCCGCCCCATTAACACTCGTAACCTCTCCTTCTTTCGCTCATATTCCTGCAGTGCTTCTCGTTCATCGCGGGTCATCAGTTCCTCCTCCCGACCTCGTACGTCGCTCCGTTCGCGCTTCTCGAGGAGAGCAGATATAGTGGGCGTTGAAGACTCGGTAAAAAGGCGGATGTGCATGTTCGTAAGTGATTTATAAGGGACTTTAAGAGAGTTGAATAAGTGTTTAGTGGATCCACAAACCTAGCATATTCAGTGTTGAACACTTCGAATGATGAACCAGGAAAGAAAAAAAAAACGAACCAAAGGTAAATTGTTTTTGAAGCAGATCGTTCACTGGATCTCGGAACCTCTTGAAGGGAGATGAGAGCGGAGCTCGAGAGTTTTGGTAATAATGACTGGACGTCTTTTGGTGACAACATGGCAGATCGAGCGATCTAATATTACGAAGATGTCATTGGTCTAGAGCCCGGACAAAAGTGGGGAAATGGCTCTCACCGCCTTTTCATCAGTTTTTCCCTTTTCCAGAAGTATATTGACAATCCGCACGGCATAACTGCCATATGCTTGTCGTACGAAAGTCAAATACACATCTTTTCTCATTAACTTGGCAATCATCTCGTATTCAACTTGGATTCGGCGCTGGGACATGGACGATGAATTCGCGCCATCAGTGAAAGCAGCGAACGCGGACGCATGTCCTGCCGTGGTGGGATTGTCGGTTGCGCAAAGGACATTTATATATTCTTTTGCATAAGCAGCCTAAGGTGTGGGGTCATCGTGAGTGGTTACGCTTTGGGCTAAAATGAAAGGTCGTTCGCACTCGTATCTGTTCCGATGTCCCTTTGACTTTTATCGCAATCCCATTCAATGTGCTACTTGCCGGGAGACTTTGCAATACCATCTGCACGCTGAAAGGTTCACTCCGCACATCCGTGCAGGTGGACTCAGACATTGCGGCGGCAGATAAAATTGAGCGCATCACAACGCCAGCGGACGCATTATATCGTTCTGCGGCGGATGCGACGATAAGCTGGGGAAAGGCTACTTTAGGCTCAGCTCAGAAGAAAAGTGGGTGAAAGAGGGACGCACATGATTACGGATATGGATGTCAAATTTAGACGCGTTCAGGCGTAAACAGGCTTCCTCCTAGTAGATTATCGTCGAGCATCTCAGAGATCGCGCTCGCACTCCAATTAGTACTGGCTTACTTCTATATCGAGCTCGTCCGGTTTTTGCCGCTATAGGAAAGCTAGATTTAACATATATTGATACGAGGAAGAAGCTAAGGTGTGCTTACATTAACGCCTTTCGATTCTTTGATGCTTAAATCATTGGCTCTACGTTTCTAATTCCAAGGATTAGAACGTTAAGAGGACATGATTGAAAATCATAAATCACCGCTTACGAATCCGCCCCTTTCTATCGATCTTACTTCATCTCGCAGGCGTTTTGAAGCCTCTTGATTAATTTCCATTCGATCCTTTGCACTGATCGTCCCCTTCTTGGCATTCGGAGCCGAAGCTTTCCTTCGTTCTGCATCCTTTTGATAGTGAAGATAACGATCTCCCGGGGAAGTTTGAAGGACAGGAGCGGTAGGTTTGAGATATTGTGAATTTAGAAGAGATATGAGGGCATTGCGGTATCTTGGTTGTCCTATGGGGCATTAGAGGAGGAATCGCAAAGGAGAAAAATGACTACGTACGTTTCATGTCAGTGGGTTCTGCAAAGTATGGTACTACATCGCCTGCTCTGACCTTCCCATGGTGCATGACAAGGTGGACAATGTCGTAACCCTACCCACAGGAAAACAGTGGGAATCGGCCTCATGCCTAGGTATCTAGTTTTTATTCACCTCTTCGTTGAATAGCTCCCTGGCGACCGAAAGGTATCTCCCAAAGCGTAAGCGGTGCAGGATTTCGTTCCAGTTTATCTCAAACTGCTGTCCAACCGCTTCTGGTTCACAGTACCACACAATGTTATGTTGAATGAGAACGAGGAGTGCGTTAGCAATAACTTTTGGCCGCATGCGGGTCGCGCGTAAGATGTCAGCTAGTCGTAAGCGCCCTCTGCCCAAGAGTTCGGCTGCCACGCGCTGCGCGAGTTCGGAGGTTATGAATACCCAGAGAAAGACGTATGAAAAAGCACACACCGATGTAACTGAACCGAAGTGATCCCGGATAATTTGTATACATAGACGTGTCGTCTCTTTGTCTGCCATAGATCGCGACTCAGAGTCTGGCGCTTGGGCTCGAGGTGAAGAGTTGGTCTCAGGGATTACGTAAGCGAAATGACTCAGCAGGTACAGCTTGCAGAAAAGATAACATGTTCATGTTAAAAGGGATTATACAATATGGAACAGAAACATTATGCCAGCATGGTGCGAAAGAAGAAAAAGGTAGGGCATGAACAGATCAGGAGTCACAACAAACCAACGGGATGCATAATTGGATGAAACACAAGCATAGAGAAACACCGTAGATATCGTTAGGAAGGGGTGATTACCAGAGATCTTTGAATCTGAGTGATCATATTTTCGAGCTCGTTGCTTGCAGGGCCAACAGGAAGTCTAGAGAGTGTTTGGCTGAGGATCGACTGTGACGTATTCAGAACCGGCCCAACATAGGACGTGATAAGTCGATCCTAAGATACGATAAGTAATGCGAACAGAGCTAATAACCAAGGGCCTTAACTCACATTAGGATTCAACGTGTAGGTCGCACGTTGCAGCCACCACAGAGCTACTTTGAAGGATTCATCTTGAGGTGAAAGCTCCAGCAAGGATTCAGACAACTACCGCGCAATGAGCGCCAGGTTCGGAGTGGAGTGGGAGAGGTGCTTACTCGATGGATCAAGGTGAGTACCACCGCTTGACTCAGAGGCGTGTTTTCGCGCTTAGTTGGCATGACGACTTCGGGATTGCATCTTTGCAGTAACTCGCGCAGAAGTCTTGGGTCTTGTTTAGAGAGGGTACTCAAGAAGGTTTCATCCCAGTCTTCGCCAACGATCGGACGGGCGACCTGTGTGGGCCCAGGCAATTCGCCTTGGCGAAGGGAAGAGGAGGGTTGCATCGACTGCGCCTGCAACGGTTGTTGAGGAAGGGCTTTGTAAGGCTGAGCAGGTGGAGGATTAGGTAGGGGAACATATTGCGACTGTGATGGCGGGTTGGACTGCCACATTCCAGATCCGTACGAACTGGTGGCTGGTGGCTGAGATTGAGACTGAGCGACTGCCTGTCCTAGGAGAGTAGGAAGCGGATTGGATGTTGCCAAGGTTGCCAAACTTCCGTGACGCAAGTGAGAGGTGTTCGACATATGCGGATGAGGAAGAGGGTGCTGCAAATGTTGGCTCGCCTGATGCTGAGCCTGGGCCTGAGCAACGGCAGCTGGAGAGGAGCGGTGAGTGACGCCCTGCGATTGAGAAGTCACTTGAAGTGTGAGCGTCCGAACTTGTTCGCTCAGAGTGCGAACACTCTGCTCCATGTCTCGGATGACGGTCTGACACAGTGCAGGGTGAGGACAGAAGGGAGTGAACACGGGTACCCCAAACTTACCTCAGTGCCCCGCAAGGCTTCTCCTTGCCAGGCTGTGATTTCCTTCTTGAGGTTGAGTACCTCGGTGGAAATCTCCCTGGACAGTTCCATGTGCATAGCGTTCGACGTCTGCTGATATGCGGGAATGAGGGTCTTAGAGATGGCATCTTTGACCTGACGCTCGATGAGTGGAGTGACAGCCGACGAGAACGTCCTGGCAATATGCGATGACACATCTGGGCGCAAAAGCAATCTCTCCAGTTCATTAGGTAATGACTAAACTCAACATGTCAGACTCCCCCTGTCACTCCAGGCAACAATTCCGCTGACCTGCTTCAGAGAGTCCGCGATGCCCTTAGCCACTTGGTTGCTTAAAGCTGCCCTGATCTCATTTCTGGTGATCTGTTCAAGTGCAGGGAGTACAGTATTCTGGACTTCGCTCTTAATTGCCTGCTCCACGACCCTCGTCGTGTTTTTTGTCAGCTCAGTAGAGATCAACTTAAGTATGGTTTCCTGACGAGCGAAATCCGCCTCTTGGTCTGCACGGCGAATTTCCTCGATGCGTTGCTCTGGATGTATCAAACGAGTCATCAGAATAAAAGATCGTGCTGCGCGATCTGAAATAGATCACACACGTTGTTTATCCAGCTCTTTCGATAGCAGCTTTCCAATGCGAGTGTGCAGACTGTCCTCCACCTTGAAATCCGAAAGTGAAGTAGGTTAGGGGCCACGTGAAGTGGTATGAGTCGCCGAGTGATCGCGTACCTTGCGAAGATCTTTCGATAAGACAATACCCTCGGGGTCCTTGGTGTCCGCCTTTGCCTCGGCAGTCGCCGTCTTTGTGTCCCCTTTTGGTGCCTTCTCTTTGGATTTCCCAATCCGGCCACTTTTGCTCTTCGAAGGATTGACCTCAGGTGCCTCACCATCAGAAAGAGGACCGCTAGGATCAGGAACCGCGAAGTTGGTTGATTGGGCCACTCTTTGACCAGTGGCAGTCGGTGTCAGGGGCTTCTTCGACGCCGTCAATGTCGATGCGACTGACTTAGGTAGTTCCTTCTCCGGCACATATGTGGCAGGAGGAAGTCTTGTAGTAGCGGAAGCCAGGCTGGACTCGAAAGTTTCCATCGATATGTTGATTTGGTCTACACCACCCTGGTGCATTGCAAACGAAGCGACAGCAGTCATATTGTCGTACTCGTCACTGACGAGAATTGCCATGTTGATACATTGCATCGGAGTTGGGAATTCAATTATTTGCTCGATGATTGGAGTGCTGACTGGGGTTGTGCGCGATTGATCCGGGTCTTGGGATGGGGACTCAAATGAGAGCTGGATGGCAAAAAGAGAGGGACGCAAGCTGTGCGCAACCCAAAGGGTTCTGATGCGAGGATCGTATCCGACATGGCAGAATATGGATTCGTCATCTTCGCGAACGACTTTCTGGCCCATAGTTAGTTTCACAGTCGCTGCCACCTGAGCACTCATCACGGGCAGGAACTGCAGAACGGTGCCCTGTTTGCGGCCAACCAAGATGCCCCCATCAAGGAAGTCGATCGAGGAAGGCAGCCCCTCTCCCGGCACCCGTCCAGACCAAAATGGGAGACGGTCTTTAATCGACCACAACGTGATCGTAGAATCAATAGAAATTGTCGCCAGAGCAATTTGGGGACCATCGAATGTAAAGCTGACAAGCGGCTATTCCGAAGGGGAGAATCAGGACCATCGTGCACGAAAGTAGTAAGCGCTACACACCGAGGGCACATTGATGACGGTTGCAATTTTTGATAGTTCAGATAGGGTTGTCTCTTCTCCTTGGAAGGTACGCCTTGCTTCGTTGATATTGAATACGTAAACCTCCCTGTCAGAAGCGACTGCAATGGTTCCAGGCTGTTTAGGGTGCCATTTCACTAATTTAAGCCCGAAGGCTCCATCCGTAGGAGATATGTGGACGAGAATGGCAACGGGAGGGTTCTCGTCCAATTCGGCTGGGACTTCCCAGATCACCAGGCCACCATCACTCGTCACGCAGGCCAAAAGGTTTCCGCTGACGACCATATCCGTCGCTGAAGTCGAAGGGGGGAACGAACTAGGCAAATGAAGCAAAGCTCTCGAGCCGTTCGAGCGTGCAATCAGACGAACACGTCCTAGATCCCATAGGTGTGATTAGCTTATGGAGGGATCGTATAGTGTCTCAAGCAATTTACCCCGCGTCATCGCGTACGCAATAAAACCAGATACCGCAATGGTTGTGCCTTGAGAGTAAATGTTCTCCAACTTCAGGAGCGCAATAGGGGTCACAGCGGTCAATCCGGATGGCGCTGTGACTGGAGAATCACGAACGGGCGCTGTCATATCCAGGTTGTACGTAGGAGCTCCAGGGCTAATGGACGCCTCATCAGTCAGGATGATTGAAACGAGTTCCAGCCCAGACTTACGACGGAGCGGGTACCCGGGCAGTCGGCCTGGGTTGTCCTGGGGGTGTAGATGCCGCGGGCATGGTCGCAGCGGCAGGTTTCGTCGACCATGAGTCCTCATGCTTTACTGCTTTGTTCTCGCGTCCAGAAGAGGACGAGGACGATTCCATCTCCTTAACACCAGGAACAGGAGCGGGCACCACAGGCGTAAGTACGGGAGATTCCACGCCAGGAGAGTCCCTCGAGATGGTGGGATGAAGAACTAGTGAAGGATATGGAGGTGGAGACGTTGTTGGCCCTTGATGCGATGGAGATAACCTCGTGGCTGTAGGCAAGAAGTCACTAAGCGAGCATAGACAGAAATATAAAAACCTCGACTCACCAGGGTTAGGTTGCCTGTCTCCACTGGGTTGAGCTTCCCCATCGGACTGGTTTGTAGTCGGGTTCGCAAATGGATCCTCCGGCGACAAGTAGCGTCGAGGAAACTGTTGAGAGTTTTCCTGGGCTCCACGGGGTGAGATAGAACGCGCCGGTGAATTGGAGCTTGGTGCGGGCTGGGATTGCGACTGAGGGTTCACAGGGGGAACGGGCTTCTTCCGCGTCGAGGACGGTGGAGGAACGGAAGAAAATGCATCGAAAGGCGAGACGAAGGTCCCAAACATGCTTCTTCCACTGTCCGCAGTTTGAGAAGCGGCTTCTTGTTGGGGATTCAGAGGGGACGAGTGCCTGACAGGAGGTGACGTCGTTCGAGGCAGAGACGAATAAGATCCTGGTGACGGGGAGCGATAAGGCTCTGCGGTTTGGGGGACATTCACAGGACTCCTAGATTCTGATCCAGAACTAAGGTTTCGTCGTGTAACCTCCAGGTTAACGACAGTCATGAGATGAACAACAAAATTACCACTTACTTAGCCATCAGTTGATCCAGCAACATTTTGCCCTGAGTTTCGTTCGGAGACATCGAGTTTGGCGGAACACGTGGGCGAACGGTGGAGTCCAAATCCAAAGGCGGAGGCTCCGAAGTAGAAGAGGACACGTTCCCAAGGAGTGACAACAGCACATTCTGTCTTTCTGAGCTGGTTGACAACGGATTTCGAGTAACGTTGTATTCGTGGCTCGTATCCTGCTCCTGATAGTGCTCAGGAGGGGTAGGCGAGTCAGCTTGGCGATACTGCTGCGTTTGTTGTGGCTGCTGCATATTCGTAGCGGCGCCCTGTTGACCAATGTTGCGGAACAGCGCGTCAACAGATATGGAGTTTGGCCTGTCGGAGTCGGCGTCGCTGGTATGTGGGTTAGATGTAGTGGATGGTGCAGGAAGATACTGGGGATTGTAAGATCTGGTCTCAGCTTTGGTCTGCTGTTGCTGCTGCTGCTGCTCAGATGTCGATGAGGGCAAAAGATTTAGGAGCGAGGACGCTCGGGAATCCTGAGATTGGTGATCGGACGTTTGCATTTTGTACTCAACGCCCTCACTTTTCTTAGATACGTGGGAGGGCCTTTAGCGGAATGGTGAACGTCAAACTGCTTGCGAACACGCGTTCAACATGCGGCGCTCGTCATTTCCGCCTTTACGGATGCAAAAATTTGGTCGAAGCTATTTGATCTAGAGCAAAATGTATACGGTTTGGAAAATGTCGCATTCGATAAAGGATTCTTCCCTATGACGTGCTGCAGACAAGGGAGGCAAGAAGTCTGGAGAGATCGTGTCGAGTCTGTCCCAGAATTGGGAAAAGGATCGTGGACATTTACTTGACGAAACAATTAATTGGTCATTATCGAGGAGTATGTGGGGAACCCTCGTTTACCCATACACGCATCATCCCCATTTCTTTCATTCATCCGATAAGAAACGGGTGCCTTGTCTACACTCAAAATTACCTCCGAATCTCTTGCCCCACGTTGTATCCGCCCAGTCGAGGTGAAAGCTGGTTCTCCCATCTCATCCCTGATGGGGAGCAGCCGATTGTTCTCATATTAACACCCGGACTGCCATCTTTGATGAGACTCATCGAGGGAATGCTGTCAATAGCGCTTTGTGTCATCCAGCACGTGTGATCCTCCACAACAAAGAATTTCCATGGAATCCTCGATCAGCCAGCTTATCGGTCCCCTGGCGACCCGCTAGCGTGGTGGGTGCCTAGAACCCCAAAGCGGTCCGCATCCCATTTGTCTCAGATGGGATGCAGGAAGTGTTGGTGGAATAATGGTGTGTCCAGGTCGTAGTCGGTAGTCGGGTGTCTATAAGGTTTGTAGTTGATGAGGGCACATTGCCTTGCTGAAAGCAGCATGCAGAATCACAGATGAGATCTAATACAAACAATCCCCGATAAAGGGGTTTACTGCGCACGCGTGCGCGCGAGAGACACGACAAGAGGGTAAAGATCCAACGGGTACGCTCGGGTCGCATGCAGAGAAATTGGCACCGAAACACCATGGCAGGCCAGTCGTCTGGAAAGCCTTTTCCACCTTTCGATCCTCCAGATACGTCACGAGGGCGAAATGACGTTGGAAAGATGATAGTGGGACGCCCATCGAGGGATGCTGCTGACCGGGTGGAAATACTGTGGTATGATGGCAACGTTTGCAACCTTGAGGCGGACAAACGAGGACTCCGAGAACAGGCAGCCTGAAGGTTTCCGATTGGGCCGGAATTTCCGATTGCGGAGACAAGAATCAAATTTCGCTGAGGCGGACCATTGATCGGTACATGAGCCATAAAGCTTGCTCGGCCGAACAGAGCGACAGGCCCACCAGGTGAGATAACTGTCCATTCTCGCAGCCTACCGATCGCCCATATTCTGCCCCATCCCTTAACTTGCTGTCCACATGCACATTATAGACAGGGTGCAACATATAGGATGATATCATCGAACGTCGACGCGCCGAATACACTGCATTCATTGTAAGCAACTTGCGGGCATAGCATGCCAGCGTTGCCATGCCCTTCACTAGCGTGCGGTGTGGAGTGGAGCCCAGCTGGAAAAAGGACAGGGCCGTGCCGGGTTATCCATTGTCGTTCAACTAGGTGATGCCAAGTTCTAGAAGGAGCCTTACATTACGTTCGGAGATTGGAAATAAGCCACATCAGAGCATCTCGTGAGGGAGTGGAATGGTATGTGTAGCCGTTGCCATTCACGAGGAGAGAATTCCTTCCCCTCTTCAGCAAAGGGATCCCGGAAGGGAACGAGTATGGAAAGGGCTCCCACAGCCACTCGCGCCACGCCAGACAGACAGCCAGTGGAGCCTGCAAACAAAGCATCGAACAAAAATGAGGCGACCAGCCTAGAGTCCTGCTTGCTATAAACCCTTTCAGGGGCCAGGGAGAGCATGACCTAACAAACTCCGGTATCGGGAACAAATGTTAGTGGTTTCTATTATGACGTGTGAGGGGCGCGGCGCCATGGCTACTATCTGTAAAATTTCTGTCGATGGCACATGGGCACATGGTAGCCATCCCAGACGACTTTCAGGAAGCAAGTATATTGTAGCATGGACACCTTGAAGCATTCCTCCGAACGCAACCCCAGATTGAAGGTGGAAACACCCTTTGGCATATGATGCACTAAAAGCTGCGCATAGATTCATCAAAGTGACATGGCCCGCACAAAAAAAAAAAAAAGGCTGCATTGAAGCAACCCAGCATCGACTAGTTTGGAGTGTGATGATCGATCATACTATCCTGAATTCACAGCAGTTATAAATGGTAAGAATGGCCGGGATACTCGACCGAGTTGGGAAAATTGCCATGAACGTTATCAACAGACATGGGTGCACTTATCGGTCGTGCTTTCCTGCATACCTAGGACATCCGTACTATTCATCGAGCCAAAGATGAGGACATTGTCAATCTGAGCAGCAAGATCTTCGTTTGGTTTTCCGGCGTCCGTCTTGCGAGCGTGGGAACGCTTTATTCTTCTCACACCACACGTCAGTTTGGGCCAGCTTCCACTCGCCACAATCCCTCACTCTCTTCCGGATCATTCTCAACGCTAACAGTTTTTGGGCAGCTCCTCGATCAACTCGCCACAGTGAGGCTTTTTAAGCCGTTGCTGGGTGACTCCGTGCTCCGTTGCATGAATATAGCAAGGGTCATCTGCGGACATCGCTCCGTCCTCAGCAATGTGGGCCCAAGGGCATATCGACTAGCCCCCCTCCCCATGCCATCTCAGTTTTATTTATGTTTAGCTAGAGCGCCTCGGTGTATCGTGCCGTGTCCCCCAATACGCGTACGGGTCCTCACCACCAATCCTCCTCCGAAGCCTGCTATCGAGGGCCAGGGGGTTGTCCCCGATAGAAAGGATAGCTTCTTGTCTCGGCTTCTTCCTCCTTCTCTTGTTCCTCCAGACAATTCGAGCACCAATCTGAAGCAGATAGTTGCGTTAGGGAAACCAGAAAAGAAAACACTCCTCACAGCTGTCGGACTGGTAAGTTTCCAGGCTGAGATTAAATCCCCATGGCTTTCACATCTCTAACTCGTTGGAAGTTATTTATTTCATCTAGCGTGTCCATGTCCGTACCTCTGACTGTCGGCAAACTCATAGATTATTTTTCCTCTAAAGATCCCGTCAGTCATTCATTGATCGCAATCCCCTCTACATGATAAGCTTATACTCATTGCTCAGCATATGTTCCTTAATCTTTCACCCTCTGTAGCACTTCTTGGTCTTCTTGGGATATTTACAGTTGGTGCCATGGCGAACACGGGGCGGGTTCTGCTTATGCGACTTGCTGGACAGAGAATTATAGCCCGGCTACGTCAAGCGTTGTACTCAAGCGCTCTCCGACAGGAGGTGGAATTCTCAGAAAAGGATCCTGGGGTTGGTGATGTCATGAGCCGCCTCAGCGCAGATACGAACATTGTCGGGGAATCGTAAGAGTATCATGATCGTGCAAGTGGGAAATGATGCGATCTTTGGGCAGGATAACCAACAATTTGAGCGATGGATTGCGGTATGTGACGATCGATTGTATCGGAACGATTTATTTACTTCCCTTCACAGAGCTACAGTGACTGCAACCGTTGGACGTACGTCAGTCTCGTCCGTGCTCCACGCTGTCTTTAAAGGTCAAAACCCTAATACCATTAGTTGGCCTCATGATCTATCTTTCTCCAAAATTGACTTTGGTCATGCTCTCCGTCGTACCTCCCATAGCGCTGGGTTCCGTAAGTCATTTCAAGTTTAGACTTTGCCCATGATTCATGGATTCGCACCTTTAGTTTATATATGGTCGTTACTTGAAGAGACTCTCTAACGCAACACAAGAAGCACTCGGGAAAATGTCAAACGTAGCGAATGAGTCGCTTTCCGCTTTACGTACCGTGCAGGCATCCAATGCCAGGAAATGGGAAGAGAAGCGGTTCGCAGAAAGGGTAAACGATGTACTCGGACTAGGACGGAAAGAGGCATTGGCTAGTGCCATTTTCTTTGGTTGGTTTCTGTCTCAAATGAGTCCGACCCGAACCTTATGGTCTTGACGCCCTTTAGGATCCACAGGATGGGCCGGAAATTTGACAATTCTTACATTGCTTGGATACGGTGTGTGACATAAGGGTTTGGTTAGTCCGCTAGATCATAATCATGCTTCCTAGGTGGCACTTTGGTATCAAGGGGCGAGATTTCGGTCGGTGACCTCACTAGTCTCCTGTTATATTCTGCATATGTAGGGAGTGCCCTGAGCTTATTGAGGTAGGTGAATTGATGCCTTTTCCTTGATGTCTGCTCACAGATATACCTTAGCTCTTTCTTCGTGAGTCCTTTTCACCATTTCACAGGGTTCCCCTTACAAGATCTGATTGCCGAATCTTCGGGAATGGAGACAACGGTTATGCGAGCTCTTGGAGCATCAGCTCGTGTCTTCTCACTCGTCGATCGCGGACCCTCGATCCCGACTAACACAGGAGTCCCAATATTTCCGATGCGCGAGGGAATTGTACGATTCGAAAATGTCACGTTTGCATACCCCTCTCGGCCAGAGGTGAAGGTGTTGAAGGACTTCTCCTTAGAGATCCCAGTTGGAGGAAGCACCGCCATCGTGTTTGTGATGTTTGTTGTCTTAGAGTATGTTTCCTGACATGTTGCAGTGGCAAGAGCGGAAGTGGAAAAAGCAGTATTCAAAGTCTTTTACTTCGGTTCTATGACCCTCTTGAGGGGAAGGTTACATTCAATGGCAGAGGTAATCCTCAGGGTTTTACGTTATATTTGCTGCTCATTCTCCTGTAGATATCCGGGACTTCGATGTTCAATCGTGGCGGTCCTTGCTGAGCATCGTGCCCCAAGAGCCAGTTCTTTTTGAGGCGTGTCTTTTCGGATGACGGATATCTACTCGTTCGATGAACATTCCTGGATCTTTAGGGGACCATTGCGTCTAACATTGCCTATGGGGCGCCTGATACTCCTAGAAACGCAATAAAGCGTGCAGCTCGTCAGGCTAATTGCGACTTTATTTGGGACATGCCCGCACGATTTGAAACAAAGAGTTGAGTTTACCCAGCATCTGTATTGCCTTTTTTCGATGACGTTGGCCTTGTTTCATGATAGTTGGGAGAAGTAGCCTCAGTGGCGGACAACGGTGCTGGTTGTCTTCGCCGAACAGTGGAAACAATACTAAGGTTTGAAACTGCTATAGGCAGCGAATCGCCATTGCCCGAGCCCTCCTGAAGCAACCGTCCCTGCTATGCCTCGACGAAGCTACTTCTGGTGCCGTACCTTTTATCGCTTATCTGCCCCGTTAATGTATTCATGACATGACGAATAGCTCTCGATGCGGTAAGCGAGCTTAGGGTAAATCAGGCCATAGAGAAGATTTTGGAATCACGACATACAACAAGTATCATCGTTGCCCATCGACTTTCCACAATTTCGCGAGCTGAGCGTATTGTTGTACTAGAAGGTTTGCATAATTTCATAGCGCTTGTGTGCAGATCTCAGCCACAATACCTTGCATTTCAATTTAGATGGGCGAATTGTGGAAGAAGGGAGATACAAGGACTTGGTACCTAATTTCGATCTCGGCTTGTCCGATGAATTGACGTTTGCTTTAGGCTGCTCGACCAGATTCTCGTTTCCGGGCTCTTATGGATGCTCAACTCGAGGCCACCATGGGGGAAAAAGAAAATGCGGCGTCCGAAGGAGCAGATGACGCCGTGCTTGGGAAAACCCATTAGCGTTGAGCTGGTCAACTTTATGCTTCTCGCTGGAACGCTTGTCTACTCAACATGTTCACATCTGACTGTATTTGCAATAATCCCCACTCTTAGGAGTTTAATTCAAGCAAGCAGTATTTACATCCAACTGATTAGTGTATGCGCGGCTTAGATCTCGAGACGGTAAACCATTGGGGATCGAGCTAGACCTCGGACAGTTAAACAATCGGCTGCGGGCTAAAGAGGTTATATCGGGGTGCACAAGAAATGTGCTGGCTGTCCCATTGCGAAGGGCTAGTCTAGGTAGAAGTAGTGTGGGAACAGACCGACAGCCATCCGAGACGTCGAGGACGTCCCGCACTTGCCGAACAGCAAGAGGCCAGCAGTTGCTCAAGGGGTTTATCAGATCAGCTCCAAGGAGCATCACTGCGTCTAATCGCCTCTATGATCTCAAAATCCCTTCTTAGCTAATGGTACGGAGGGCGATCGAAGATGACCCGATACTAAGTTCGATTCAACCCAGCTAGTGATCTTTGAGCACTCTCACTCACTTGTATGCATGCAGGGGCACCCAAATGCGTAAACGTCGCTCTTTGTTGTACGACGCGAATCCTCAGAGTTGCCTAAGAGCTCCGGTGCCGTGTTCCTCCTTGGGCAGAAGTTGTCTGCCCCATCGGAAGGCCGTCAAGGATAAGGGACGGCCCAAAGCCACACAACTGTGCCCGTCCAGTGTTGTTAATTACGATGATCAGCCAGCCAACTGATCAGAGGTGCATGTGTGGCACCTTCTCAGGCTCAGGTTTGAGATCTGTCCTCATTTCTGGCCCAACGCGGTGTGCTCAAATGGAACTCCAGCATCTTGCAAGTGAAAAGAATATTTAATCGACTCAGCAGTGATGTCTTGCTCATGACTACATTTTCGTATCCAATGTCAATTGCTCAAACCTAGTGAAAACCGATCATAATTCCGCCCAGTCGCCTTCCCACAGAGCATCTTTTCTCGCAGTAGAATATCGCGGCTAACGAATAAAAGTCCAAATGTTGCCTGCACAAAAAAATACACCAGTTGACAAATTAGAACAACGATGAGGACTACATTGTTGGAGATTATGCCAACGAGTTCGGTATCATCACAGTCTTGCTTCGGTATACCTTACTCTTTGGGGAACTAGTTAGTACCTATCATCGCGTTGTAAACCGCCGAATACTCACTCCCTGTGTCCACTCCAACAGTGAATGTAATTCGGTCCCCCCAAATCCCACTCTAATTTTGTATTCCTGAGACCAAAACGTCCTACCTTGACTATCCCGATGCTCTCCAACAGAAGAATAGTCATTTCCGAGTTCGGCGGTAATTGTACAAACTTTCTCAAAGCCCGGAAGAAGATTGCCTAGACAGAAGAGATGACATTTCGTTCGGGAGGTACATGGAAAGGAAGACGCTTACCATTTAGGTCCATTGCCCAATAGGGTTGATTCACATCGGGTGGTGCGAAGGCATACAGCTGCATCGTGATCGTTCTTGGTATGTCCTCTCTTGATTTGTAAATGTAGTGGAATGTTTTAGCCACGCTTTCTTCGGGAGAGAATAAGGAACCCTGTTGTTGCAAACAGCAACAGGATTAAAGTGGAAGCAGCAACTGCACAATTACAATTACCTTAGCTACTATCGGGAACCAGACTCCTTGGACCCAAAGCCCACCTTCAACCTCTTTGTAAACGGGTCTGCCAGTATGGAGAGGGTCTGAAGGCCGAAAAACATGACTCCCAATGATTCCATAATGAAAACGGGCTGCTCGTTTGATAACCGAGCATGAGATACGCCAAATGACAGCACCGTCTGAGACTGCTTTGCACCTATTCATGCAGTTCGATATCCGAGTGTGTCAAAAGGCAACGATCACTCACGTTGAATCATTTAATGTGACGACCTGACAGTTTCGTGATTCGAAGGTCGCACGGATTCTTTCTCGAAGGTAAGCGTTCTCGCCAAAGCCACCAACCAACAGAACGTATCTGCAGGCGGTCCCCAGCATCTGCTCATAGAGAGATTGTACGACCTGATCAACCAGAGGATTGAACCATGATTGGATAACGGATCTATCCTGGAGTCTCAGGATCAAGGAAGTAATCCCCACAATTGACGATACTCACCCATCCACTTTGATTCTACCACGCTTTACTCCAGCAGCCTCGATGTTGAGACGACTTTGTCCGACTGCTATATTTGCAGTGCTTGACTGATTCTTAAACGCCTTCTTGGCACTACTTTCGAAATCCGTTGTGGCGGCCTTAACATAATCGGATACCTCATCCTCACACAGCTGTGTTACAGGATTCGATAATAATTTGTTGAAATACTGGGAGGCCCCCTTGTCTACGAATACACCGCCGGCTTGGACGCAAGACGAGGCCCTCACTTCATGCATCAGGAGACACGGGTTGACTGCGTCAACCACATATGCTGTTGTGTCCACGGTTGAACCACCTAACAAATTATCAGTTGGCATGTCAACATCGCGACTAACAATATTTGTCAATACCAGCATCGCAAACAACAAAACTGAGACTTGGCTTCAACAGGCCCGGCATTCAGACGAAGGATTTGATAGGAAGGGATTTCACGTACATGAAACTGAGCCGAAAGATTTGCGCGGTGCAAACAGTAGTGGACGCTGGCTTCCCCTTCTGCTACGAAAATAAGATGGGAGTCCGCGTCAAATGGCGAAATGATCCCCGCGTCAATGGCTGCCTTCCGCATGAAGTCTTGCTCCCTGAAGCCCCATCCATTCGGATGAGCCATTACAACATCCGCTGTTGGAAACAGTCGTTCCCAGACAAGCCCTCCGTCAAGAACACGATTACGGAAGACTTCCTTGGTATGATCAACCAAGAAACGAAAAAAATCGCGGTATATCGTTGACAATGGTATCCCTCCAGGGAGTGCTAAGCTTTCGTTCAGGATTGTTTAGCACGGGATTGTACATGATGACGCACGGTCAACACGAAGGTCATGAGCCTTTGTCAACGTGGAAGGATGCAGATGAAGCTTGAAATGTTTTGCAAGGACCCAACCTTCATCTTCCGCCCGATCCTCCGTCTCCGCGCTTAACGAATCGGCACCAAACGACACAGCCTAAATCACTCACGCATAAATAAAAAAAGGCAGAGAATAGTGCAATACATTCCTTGAACTTGTCGTACCAAATCCGCGTTGGCACCTTTTTCTCATCCATATGGGCTTCCTGACCAGGCCAGTCGCCTACCCTACCAATGGTGGGTGGTTGGCTGTGCCAAAGGGTTGGTGGGTCGAATGACAAGTTTAGTAAGACATACCCTCGAAGTAGATAAGCATATGAGATGCCGCTGGATGTTGTACCTATGTCAACTCCTAAGATGATTTTAGGCTCACCCATCCAGACCCGATTGGAGAATGGGTTCATTATCGCGAGCTACAATAATGCGGAGACTCCTGACGGCAAGGTTTATGGTAAGGCCACTTGGTTCGAAAATGAGCAAAGGTTAAGCAATGGCTGCAATGTTCGTCGCACTGTATCAATAGGTGGTACTTCATTTGACCGCATGTAATTTGAATTACGGCGATCCAACACAAAGAATGCTTGGCATCAGCGTCTAGTGGCTGACAGCCGGGGAACTCCTTGGCTTACGAGGCGGAACTGTTTGTTTTACAATGTGAGAAATGCCACCGCAGGCCATTAGTTGTTGGGGTGTTCAAGCGTTCAGCAGCGCCCCCCCCGCATTTGATTACGTAAACAGAATCTCGTTCCTCAATACTTGTGTCCTCACTAATGTATAATAGTACTCAGTCTCGCGCGTATAAGCAAAGAGAACTGAGGGCATAAAGGAAAAGTAACGTCGAGCTTTTAAGCATCATACGTTTGAATGTAATGAGGGACATGAGGCGACTCAGCCAAAACTAATCAAAGATAATGAGAAACAAATAAAAGAGTGACAGGGTTAATAATCAACGAAACAGAGAAAAGAGTGTTTATAGGAACTGGGTAGGACTTAGCATCAATTCCTTAGTGTCGGCGCTAAGTCGGGTATCCTTGTACAGTACCGAGAGTCAGCCGGTGCTGTCTCACAACACACCCACTCAGTGGTGGATGACTCGATGCAAGCCCAGCTCCTCTCGAAATTTCTCAAATTTAATTTCCGGGAGAGCCTTTGTGAAAATGTCGGACACTTGATCAGCAGTCGGAATGTATTGGAGCTTCAATGTTCCACTTTCGATCTTTTCTTGTATCCAATGGTGATGGACATCAATGTGTTATTGGAATATCAATGTCCATGCATACTAATATTTTTCTTTACTGACGCGATATCAATTGAGGATATCGTATATACCTTTTGTCTTGATAGTTACTTCATTGCCGGTTATAGCAGGCAGTCGCTATAAGCGATATTGGCACTAGGTGTATAAAACACACTGTGCACGGAATTTATCACACTCCCTCAGATCTCTCATTCGAGACTGGGGTGGTGCCCTTTTTATTCTTCCTTGTATGCAAGTTCTGATTGTATTTACAGTCTGTGCATCAGGTAAAGGAATAATAACTCAGATCTCTCATTCGAGACTGAGTCTGCGCATTAGCTTATTTACTTTAGGTCATGAGCCCAATGTCTTCTACTGCAGCAAACGATGCTACTACAACTAAAGGTCTCCACAGTATTGATAAGCTTAAAAATGACAGCCACAACTATTGTATGTGGGCTGTCCAATGCTGAATGGTTCTCATTGATTGAGGACTTTGGGATTTCGTTGATCCCAAGTCGAAGACCTCAGACCCCCCTCATCTGTCAGAGTTGGAAATACTGTCAGAAGATGGACTGAAGATGGATGGGTTTCTGTCTGAGTCGAGGTTGGAGGTTTTGGCAGAGGTCTGTTGGAGCATGCATGCGCAGATGTGCAGGCGGAATGTAGCAGCATGTCCGGAAGTGCTGTTCAAGGTTAGCAGAGTGGGATCACGGCCTCAGTGACTCAAGTGGAGTGCTGTGCCCTGAGCTTGACATCTGGGGGAGATCCCATATTTACAGATTGACACTTACAGTGGACTTCAAACAAGACTTGCGGGCGGAGTGGGCTTGTAGGAGGAGTGTGGACTCCACGAGCATGGACTCAGAGGGGGGAAAGCCCCCTTTGCAGAAGGAGGGACTCAGACCAGACAGGGGGGGTACTCTAGTTGATTTCAGACTGAGGTCCCTGAAAGTATTTACAAGATATAAATAGGACAGAGGAAATATAGAAGGGTCAGTTGGTCTGGCATGGTCTGGCATGGAAATGAGCAGGGATTGTCAAACTAAATAATGGACAAGAGCCTGGGAACTGGAAGTGAGGAATGAACAAACAAACAATGAGTGGTGAGGGTTATTGATGGGAAGAACAATAGGACCAATAACCTAGTGTCAATAAAAGTGGATCAACACTGATATTGGCAAGTTAAGTGAATGAGTGGATAAACATAATAGGCACTTGGCAAGGAATGAATGTATGCTGCCAAGTGGCAAAAGGCCAAAGGAAAAGCAGGGTTGGCATGTGGCACCGACACAAGTCTGCGAAATGGGATGTGGGAATCAGTGTGGCGCTGATAAGTCTGCAGACAGAGGGTGTTCCATCAGTGCTGTCACAAACAAGGACAGCATGATGGCCAGAAAAGGTACGGAGGGGTGTTTTGACCTGACCACAGGGTGTGGAGGACCAGAAGCATCAGAGGTGAGTGGAGGTACAGATGTGGGCGGAAGTCTGGATGCGGGCAGAGGTCTGGATGCAGTGCATGGCTGTGACCACATAGTGGAGTGATGGGTGTGATTCAGATGGAGATGAGGCAAGGGGAGCTAGAGGGACTGGATGCTGGGAGCGCCAAGGGCTCAGGAACTGGAGGTAAGGTCGGAATGCTGGCAAGGTCCGGGGTCAGATTGTTGACCAAGTCTCACTTGATAGGACAGGGGGCCAGACATTGGGTTGGGGGCTGGTTAGGATGGGTTTTGGGTCAGCAGATTTGCCTATCAGCATTGATTCGCCACTGACGGAGCCCCAGGATTTGTTGGTTGTGACATCATCCTCCTACCTCTACTTCCTCCTCATCTTCCTCATCTTCCAATACCTCCTCCTCTGACAAAAAGGCTGCAGCTCCTGATCCTGCGATTGTTGAATGGGACAGGAAGAACGATGCAGCTTTGACTCAGATTGCACTTACCATTGATGACACACCACTCACCCTCATCGACAGTAAACATTTTGCAAAAGAGGCTTGGGTTCAGCTATTCAAAAAGTATAACGATGTTGGTGCCTTAGACGCTGCGAGAGTAATGACACAACTTCACCATTATCAACTGGACGATTCCAAACTGTTGGAACCTCAACTGATCCAGATGCGTGAACTTCGTGATCGATTGGTGAGTCTAGGTGATGACTACACTGACACCAAGTTCGCCATGATAGTGTCAGAGGCACTCCCAGAATCGTATGACATGCTCAAGCAGATTGCCCTTGCGGATCTTGATGATGCATCAACAATAGCCTGTGACAAACTCATAGCCCAAATCCTCAGAGAAGAGAAAAGGAAGAACAAACCTGCTTTGTCGACTGCATTGGTTGCCAAAACTGTAAAAAGTGCTGACAAAAGTAATGGTAAATCTGATGGGAAGAAGTCAAAGAAAGAATGCCCATGCTGTACCAACCCAAACTGCAAATGGCAGTTGGGACATACCTTTGAATGGTGTTGGGCTGAAGGTGGAGGTTCTGAAGGGCAACGCCCAGCCAAGTCCGGCAATGGGCAGAGTTCTCAGAAGGGTGCTAAGAAAAAGGATGCAAAGATTGATGTCCTTCTCATGGAAGAACATGCTGTGATCACAGACAGTGATCGTGTGCGAATGACTGAATGGGTTATAGATTCTGGAGCATCATCTCACATCTGTGCTAATCAACTCTGGTTCTCGACATACTCACCTCTCCTTCCCCCATGTCCAATCTATCTAGGCGATAAACATGCCCTCTTTGCCATTGGTCAAGGTCAAATCAAAGTTGTTCTGCATAATGGAACCGATGACCAACAAGTTATCATCAGTAACGTGCTGTACTGTCCAAAGATTGGCACAAACCTCCTCTCCGTAACACAACTAACCTCAGTTGGAGCGCGAGTTTATTTCGCCCCCAGTAGTTGTCAACTTCTTAATCCCAGCAGTGAACTCCTTGGAATCGGGAAGGCCTCTGGCAGCCTTTATAGGTTGCCTTGCATTGTGACAGGTTCAGAATCCACATATATCTCTAGGTGTGCCAGGGAAGGTAATGTTGAGGCTGTGCTGGTTGCTCGTACAACTACTGCAACAGCTTCACTTAATGTCTGGCATGCCTGCCTTGGACACATCTCATCACAATCTATTCTAAAGATGGTCCACAGTGGTATGGCCAAGGGAATGGAAGTAGTTGGGGATATGAAGGATGGATCAGCCTACTGTGAAGAGTGTAAGGCGTCAGGACACACATGTTCCCCTATCCCTAAACAAACTCTTACCCATTCTGGCGAAATTCTCGGATGCGTCTTCTCCGACCTGTGCGAAGTCCAAACCATGACACATGAGAGCTACCGATATTTCATCACCTTCATCGATGATCACTCCTGTTTCTTAACTGTCTATCCTATCAAAAAGAAAAGTGACACTCTTGAGACCTTCAAAGATTTCCTAGCCCAAGCAGAACGTCAATCAGGCAAGAAGTTGAAGGTCTTGCACACTGATGGAGGCGGTGAGTACTTCTCCAACGAGTTCTCTGAATACCTTAGGGACATCGGGATTGTCCATGAGAAGACAAATCCTCACACGCCACAAGAGAACGGTGTGGCCGAGAGGGTCAATCTGTCAGGGCACACCCGACTGACCCGGTTCCACCCAGGCCCACCCGGGCCCACCTCACCCGCTCACCCGCTCCCCGCTACCCATCCTTCCTCCTCCCTCCTTCCTCCCTTTTCCCTCTTTTCTCTTTCTCCTTTATTTCATTCTCCCTTTCTGTTTATTCTTTCTATTTACACGGACCACCTTCCCTTGTATCATTGTACTGTTGACCCGTCTGGCTCAGACACCCTGGACGACTTCCCGCTACGCCCAGCATGCACACCTGCAGCGGATGCCCTCGGGATCTCCTGCGGGGATACCCGGATGGCTGTGGCTCTCTCCGTAGATGACGTGGCACTCATCATGTGACCCAAGCCGCATGTACATAAATGTACCTGAAGTGGGAACTGAAGAAGTAACCTTCTTCTCACATTTTCCACTTCAGGTAAGTAGTGTAGTTCTTCCTTTTAATAACAATTCACATTTTCCACTTCAGTCTAAGTGGCCAGGGACTATAGTCCCAGATCGGGCCCGTCGGTACGCGTGCCCACTTCGTCCCCCGAGAGGGTCCCTCTGCCGGGCACTACAGCTG